GGCAAGGGAAAGAGCCAGTGTCCCCCGGGGTGGTGTCCCCAGCGTGGCCTCAGGTCCCCTCGTCCGCATTCAGGGGCAGGAGGTTTACCGGGGGGGGTCACTGTACCCCCTGAACTCACCCTCCGAGCCCAGCTGGACAGGCACAAACCCCACTGGGGCACTGGGAGTGGGGCCGGTGCCACCCCGTGGGTGCCGGGGCTGGATGCACGCTGGGTATTTTTAAACCTGGCTCCCGGCGGGTATCGGCTTTCCGGGCACCGGCGAGAGCTGCCCAGATTTGGCCGGGGGAAGCCGGGGGCCGGCGCAGCTCTGGCAGCAGGGCCGTGCCGGGGCTGCGGCCGGGGGCCAGCGCAGGGTGACCTTTAAAGGTCTGCGAGATGAATTACATTATCGTCTTGCCATCGGGGTCACTCCTGGCTTGGCTTTCAGCTGGACACAGGACTCGGGTTGTCTCACATGGTGCCGGGTCCATGTGCAGCGCCGGGGGCTGTGGGGACACGCAGGGTGGGCTCCTCTCCCCCCTCCTCTGAGAGTCTGCCCGCACTGCTGTTACCACAAGGCCCCAGAATGGCTTATGAGGGCAGCGGGATCCTTGAAATCTGGTTCAGCCTCAGCTCTGACTTCCCCTGGCCAACCCTGGGTTTTGGGAATCCGCCGGTCGCATTCCTCCCTCCTTCCCTTTGGGGGACTTTGCTAAGTCGACGTTTTGGGGAATTTCCTTTGCGCCCACTGGCTGTGCCGTGACCTTTCCCAGGGACAGGGGTGGCCGCCACCGGACAGCCAGCAGCCCCAGGGGCCTGGTTCTGGCACGAGTGGGATCCTGGGGAAGCTCCAGTGGTTCTCCCCCCATCTCCAGGCTCTGCCCGGATGGCGGAGGGGCGATGACGGGGTCCCCGCTGACGCCCCTCTCTCCCCACAGAGATGCCCTGCATCCAGGCGCAGTACGGCACCGCGGGCGCCGGCCCCTGCGAGCGCTGCCCGGCCGAGCTGCTCAGCCCCGAGGGCGGCCGGTTCCCCATGGAAGTGGCAGGAGCCGACCTGGCGGCCGCCCCCGCCCTGCCCAGCTTCAGCACCTTCATGGAGGGCTACGCCGGAGAGTTCGACGCCTTCCTCTACCAGCTGCCGGCCAGCGGCCAGTCCAGCACCGCCACCGCCTTCAAGCTGGAGGACTTCCAGGTGTACGGCTGCTATCCCAGCGCCTTCGGGGGGCAGCCGGACGAG